TTCACCTCCTGGGTTCAAGTGATTCTCCTGCCTCAGCCTGCCGAGTAGCTGGGATTACAGGCGCATACCACCACACCTAGCCAATTTTTTGTATTTTTGGTAGAGATGGGGTTTCACCATGTTGGCCAGGCTAGTCTCGAACTCCTCAAGTGATCCATGTGCCACAGCCTCCCAAAGTGCTGGGATTACAGGCATGAGCCATTGCGCCTGGCCTGGATTTTTATTTTTGAGGCCCTGTGCAAATCCTGCCATCCAGTGTACATTCTTTCCTTTTTCCTTTTGCCTGTCTTAATTTGCCCAGTATTTTTTGTGAAATGACACGTACTGTTTCCAGTATCTCTAAGTAGTACATTTTATTGTTTCTTTGTTTGAATATTCCACAATTCATCTAAGTATCTTATATTGATGACCATTGGACTTTGCAGTTCAGGGTTATTGTGATGAACACTACTATGAGCGCATTTCTGGTTGGGCACAGTGCCCGTATTTCTCTGGGATGCATATCCTGGATAGAAATTGCTGGGTTCCTGACAGAAAGTGCATATGAGATGCATTTGTTCATTTTCAGTTGACACTGCCAGTTTTTGACAGTTTATATTCCAACAAACTTGTGTGGCATTAGACAAGACGATGCTCACATTGCCCTCCTTGTCTTACTGATTGTGTACTCTGCGTGTGAGCCCTTTGAGTGGATATGTTTTGTCGATATTTTCTCCCACTCTGTGGCATGCCTCTTCATGTTCACTGATTCTTTGGCCATGTTCAGATGACTGATTAGCTTATCAAAGACATTCTTCCATTTCTTTATGGTGGCTTTGATTTCTAATATTTCCCTCTGATTCTTTGAGTCTCCATTTTTCTGCTGATAATGCAGGGCAGATGAGCCCTCAGATTGGGGGTTAGCCCAGGAGGGTTCTTGACTTTGCTTAGGAAAGAATTCGAGAGCCAGCTGACAGTAAAAGAAATTGGCTTTATTGAAGCAGCAGGCCACAGCCACAGCAGAGTGGCTGCGCCTTACAGAGCAGGGCTGACTCAGGTTATATGCCCAGAGCAGCATCATATGGGCAGTTGGCTAGCAGTATTTATACCCATTTTTAATTACATGCAAATTAAGGGATGGGTATTCAGATAGCTCTAGAAAAGGAGTGGTAACTTCCAGACAACTGACAATGCATTGACAATATTGGCTACCACCACTGTCCATTTTCAGCTCTTGCTTTTAATTCAAAAAAAACTCTGTACCCATTAAGCAATCACTCCTCAACACTTCTGCCTTCAACTCCTGCCAACTTGTACGTGGTGTCCATGAATTTTGTCATAAGTAGGATCATAAAATATGTATTTTTGTGTGTGTCTGCCTTATTTCATAAAGTAATGTTTTCAAGGCTGATCTATGTTGTAGCATATATCAAAATTTCATTCCCTTTTATGGTTTAATAATACTCTGTTGCATATATGTGTCTCGTTTTATTCATCCATCTATTGATGAACATTTGAGTTGTTTCTACCTCTTGGCTATTGTGGATCATGCTGATACGTATATGTATATGTGTGTGTGTGTGTGTGTGTGTGTGTGTGTGTGTGTGTGTGTAGGTATATATATATATGTTTGGTTTTGTTTTGTTTTGTTTTGTTTTTGACAAAGTCCTGCTCTGTCACCCAGGCTGGAGTGCAGTGGTGCAATCTTGGCTCACTGCAACCTCTGCCTCCTGGGTTCAAGCAATTCTCCTGCCTCAGCCTCCTGAGTAGCTTGGATTACAGATGCCCCCCCACCACCATGCCCAGCCAACCTTTTGTATTTTTAGTAGAGATGGGGTTTCACCAGGTTGGTCAGGCTGGTGTCGAACTCCTGACCTCAGGTGATCCACCCACCTCATTCTCCCAAAGCACTGGGATTACAGGCATGAGCCACCATGCTCAGCCTCTCCCATTCTGCCTTCCTTACTTCTTTCTTTTCCTTCTTTCTCTTTCTTTTTCTTCCTTCCTTTTTTCCTTCTTTTCTCTTTCTTAATTTCTTTCTCTTTCTTTTCTTTCTTTATCTCTTTCCATATTTATTCCTCCTTTCTCTCTCTTTGTTTCTTATTTTTAAAATACTTTTTCCTTGCAGAACTCAATCTCCTTCTTTGTTTCTTTTTTATCTTTTTCTTGCAGCACTCGCAGCCTTCATTCATTCAAGTTTTTGAGATGCAGTCTCG